AATCATTCGAAATGGAGCTGTGCCTTGCCAATCCGCATAATATTTTCAGATTTTTGTCGGGAACGGCTTGTAAGACTGCGTGAAGGTTGTACATTAGCTGTTAAATAAGGACTTTACTTCGCGTCAGAATAATATAATATATTATATATATACTATACATAATTATTATTAATATATACCTTGTATATTCCTATCTGCTTCATTTCGTTGGCGTCCAATAGTACTCACGAAGACGGCTTCTGAGGACAGAATAACCCCGGACAATCACCCCCGGACAAATTACCCCCGCGACTAATTACCCCGACAAATTTACCCCATGCGCTTTACCCCCCATGCCAGTTCACCCCCCGGACAATTACCCCCCCGGACATTACCTCGGACAATTTAGCCCCGGACATGTTACCCCCGGAAATTTACCCCGGGAATTTACGCCCCCGGCAAGTTTACCGCGCACAAATACCCCCCGGACATTTTACCCCCGGCATTTACCCCCCGGACAATACCCCCGGACATTTACCCCGCAATTACCCCCATTGCCATTTACCCAGTTGCAATTCACCCCCCGGGACAATACCCCGGACATTTACCCCGACAATTACCCCCCGGACATTACCCCCGCGACATTTCACCCCGCCGGACATTTACCCCCCAGACATTTCCCGCACGGACACGTACACACGCACGGCACGCACTCATTGCAACGCACGTGTACGTCACACGCACGCGACGCACGAATGCACGCACGTGTTGACGTGCACACGTCAGGCCAAGCACGCTCGCACGTTTACGTGGTACATGATGCACGCACGCACGCACGTGTATGCTGACCAACACAAGCGCAGTACGCACGCCACGCACACATGCACACACGGTGCTGACTGCACCGCACCGGCACTCACGCATCGTCCGGAGGGTAATTGTGCGGGGGGTATTGTCCGGGGGGTTAAATGTGCGGGGGGGTTAATTGTGGGGGGTAATTGCCGGAGGGGTAAATGTACCGGGAGGTAATTGTCCAGAGTATATGTCCGAGGCGGCTAAATGGCATGGGGGGTAAATAGGCATGCGGTAATTGCTCAGAGGGCGTAATTGTCCGGGGGGTAATGTCCCGGGGCGGTAATTGTCCGAGGGGTCATTGTCGGCGGTGGTAAATGTCCGGCGGGGTATTTTCCGGGGGGTAAATGTCCGGGGGGTAATTGTCCGGGGGGTAAATGTCCGGGGGGTAATTGTCCGGGGGGTAAATGTCCGGGGGGTAATTGTCCGGGGGGTGAATGGCATGGGGGGTAAATGGCATGGGGGGTAATTGTCCGGGGGGTAATTGTCCGAGGGTAATTGTCCGGGGGGTGATTGTCCGGGGGGTATTTGTCCTGACACCAAATATATATACACTACGGCGACCTAGGCACCCAAGCCTAGGCCCCGTCATCTCCGTTTTCGTCTATCTCCACTACATCGCCTCTCGTCTCTTCCTCTGGGTAATAACTTTCTATGATCTTTCGTCCGTGCCTATTTATACGTTTCCGAAAACCGCCCGGCGACATTTGAATCCGACCGGTTTTTCGTCATTACGGCCGGACCTTGGCTCGTAGGTGTGGCGCGTCGCGTCACCCATCCCCGGCGCAAGGTGTGACGTGACAAGCGTCGCATCCTGTCGCCACCGTTTGCTGAATATAATACATGACCTAAATTCGAAATATCTTCATGAAGACCTACAGACCAACGCAACAACGTCACTGAACGCCTGCATGACCTCAAGGGTACAGAATGACGTCACTGAACGCTTGTATGCATAGCCACGAACGTACGGAACAACGTCAGTGAATGCTTGTATGCATGGCCACGAACGTACGGAACAACGTCAGTAAACGCTTGTATGGCCACGAACATACGGAACGTCACTGAACGCTTGTATGACCACGAACGTGCAGAACAACGCCACTGAACGCTTGTATTGACATAAACATACAGAACAACGTTACTGAACGCTTGTATTGCCATGAACACACAGAACAACGTCACTGCACGCTTGTATTGCCATGAACATACAAAACAACGTCACTGAACGCTTGTATGACCACGAACGTGCAGAACAACGCCACTGAACGCTTGTATTGCCATGAACATACAGAACAACGCCACTGAACGCTTGTATGTATTGCCATGAACATACAGAACAACGCCACTGAACGCTTGTATGACCACGAACGTGCAGAACAACGCCACTGAACGCTTGTATTGCCATGAACACACAGAACAACGTCATTGAACGCTTGTATTGCCATGAACATACAGAACAACGCCACTGAACGCTTGTATGACCATGAACGTGCAGAACAACGCCATTGAAGGACTGCATGATCTCAGTGTGATTGTGAGGGGGGGAACGCGCAGTTCGGGGGCGTGCGTACGAGCGCTGTTGCGACTGTACGCATTTGTGTGCGTGTGTGTGTGCGTGCGTGTGTGTGTGCGTGTGTGCGTGCGTGTGTGTATGTGCGTGTGTGCGAGTGCGTGTGTGCGCGCGCGTGTGTGTGGGTGTGCGTGCCCACGTATGTGAGCGCCGTAACTTTCGGCATCACAGTTGTCACAACTGCAATCGCCGTCGTTAGCTTCACCCGAGATGTTCGCGCATGTGATGAATTGTTCAGAGCGCTTGCATATTTACTCTGTATGTTGATCGTGCAGCTTCCACTTTATTGCATCTGTGTTTTGTTACCCTCGAGGTATTTTTTCATTATCTACGCTTGATTACGACTAACGCGTTTCCATGGATGTGCGGCTACAATGCCGATGTACGAACCTCTCCATCTACGAACGCATTTTTCTCATTTTACACGATTATAGTTAAATTCTATAGCAAGCTTAGCGAATGCTTATTAGCTGCTACCAAACTCAGCAAAAAACTTCAATTACTTATTTTCCTGACTTCCTAGTTCAAATTTTCAAATCTATGTAGCAAGTTGTCACAAGAACGAATTTTATCATGTAAGACATTCTCAATTTAAACCCATTGCTAAAATCAATTTCTTCTCATAATGCGACCGCAAATCAATAGTTTCATTTATGTCCCCGTGTGCGAACGGTTTCCACAGAAACTCTGGAAATGTTTTTTTTAGAAAAAAAACGAAAATTTCTGTTTACGATAAGTTTTCCGTTGATGCCTATAGTAATACTGTGCGTCGCCGGGTGAAATACCAAAATAGATTAACATAGCAGCGGAATTAGTATGGTCGAATTCAACACGCTTCCCGCAGGCTTCGGGCGCTGACATGTGCTATAGCTATCCTCATAGCGAAAGCAGATAAACTGTTTATTTGCTCTTGATTTCATGTGACCTGCATGTCAATAATTATCTAACTATTTAATTCAGATAATAATTTGATATTTTATGCCAAACTACTGATAAATAATTACTCTCTATTTGAAACGCATAATTTCAACACAAATGCTCGCACGAGCACTCGTCTATCTTTATGCTACAATATAAGGAAATTCTGGATGGACTGATCACCTTATATTTATTAAAATGTGACATGTGAATAGTCATTTTCATATTAAACTTCTCGTGCAAATGTGAGCTCTAATTTGATATATAATGCCAATAGGGATTTTTGTATCAATTACGTACGAACGGCGCTCTTTCGTTTGTATAACAAGCAGGGGCGTTTCTCCGGTAAATTTCCCATCTAAGAATTAAAAATGTTGCAATCGACTGTTGAATGATTTCGTAGAGGCTGACTAAATTAAGTAAAGCCTGGCTACTTAATTAAGTAAACACATTATTCTCCTATTATTGCGGTGTGCATTTAAACCCCTTTTGTGAATTCAAGAAACTTCTAATGAATTTGTAAAAGCCGAGCAGGCTAGAAGCAGTGTGAAGAATAGCACCTTCCAAACATGAATGCAATAGTTTGCCTTTTCATACTTACGTACATAACGGGGGCTTTATTAAATAACAAAACATAATTACATCGCGTTTTATACAGACAATATACTGCCGTTAAACAATGTCGCGTCACTGTAAAATCCCCGCTAAAAATATCTTTAGCGCGTTTTTACGCATCGCGTTTCTATTATACTATATTTACAATAATAATGTTATAAATGCACGTAATACTGACATTTTAACATTTTATTGACATATAATTATTCTTTAAATATAGAAAAAAATAATAAGCACACTGGTTAAACTATGAGTGTATTGGTTAAGACATGTGTGCTAATATCATCAAACAAACACTGTTACGTATTGCCACATGTTCGGAAGTCAATTAAACATGCTACAATTTCAAATTACACTGGTATGTAAAATTGAGGCAATCCTTTTTTCATATCGTATAACAATTAAAATATATATATATATATATATATATATATATATTATATATTTATATAAAAACTGTGTTGTTGTATACAGATCAATAGACGCAGCATGTATTCAAACGTCCTCTAAGCAATTCCAAGAGAAAACCACAAATAATATTGTATATGTGTATTGTGGTTTTCCTCTCGAACTTCCCTGAATTGTCGTAAAAAGTTCTACATTTGTTTACCTCGTCAGGACACGGTAGTTAGCGGCATATACGCGTCATTCTTGGATACGAGTAATTGGATAATTTGATTTTGTTCTTATAGGCCATATCATGATCAGCACTCGGCTGGCGTAAAACTGAAGGTGGCATTGACGCACAGACAAAGTCGTCGTTTTCGTTCTTAATGAACCACTATGTGGTTTGAGATGGGACTTGATTTCTTAGCGATGCTATGCCCTAGCGTGCGCTACAACACGCGAACACACCTACAGTTTCTGCCTTCCAGCAACGTTCACACTAGCAGGCAGCGTAAGGCTCGACGGGGAAATACACTATGACTAATATGACTGAAGCTCTAGCGAGATATTTTTCTTGAAGCTGTTTCTGCTACATTTCTTAGATTCCACGTAATGCCTGGTGGAGAAGTTAATGTCAAAATATATAGCTGTGATCGATATACGCGAATACACGACAAAGTGAAAATGAATACATGAAAATAGAAATGCATGTGAATTCTATATGCTATAGCTGCGGTTGCTAGCGCACGGTACGCATTATGAAATGCACTTGACAGAGAATTGGGAAGAGACATTACGTTACGTGTCGTTACTTTACGTTACAAGATATTCATTACGTGTCGCGTCGTGACGTAACGAGATCTACATCACGTGTCGTATCGTGTTACGGAGAAACTTAAGTAGAGAGAAGCACCAGTCCTACGTGTTGCTGTGGGCATAGCTAGGACATTCTTGACGTCGATGCACTGCTGCTGGAGTGGCTCCCCACATAGCCATGCTTTCCAGAGCGAGGATCCTCGAATGTAGCACCTGCCAAGAGATAAGTTTAATTATGTGCAAAGCCGAACACTGCGATCAAGGTCTTAGGTCGGAGGTCAAGCATGACACGCAGAACGCACACACTCTCTCACTCACGCACGCACATGACATACTTAATGGTTACTAATTAGTTTACTACTTAATAATTAGTAGTTTGCGACTGCGCATGTGTAAAACCTTTTACGGTTCGTGTACGATACAGAGCATGGAAATAGTTTGTGTGTATACGTGTGTGTATACGCGCGTGCGTGCGTGCGTGCGCGCGTGCGCGCGTGTGTTTAGTTGTCCGATTATGTGTGTGTGTCTGTGTGTGTGTGTGTGTGTGTGTGTGTGTGTGTGTGTGTGTGTGTGTGTGTGTGTGTGTGTGTGCGCGTGTGTGTTTAGTTGTCCGATTATGTGTGAGTGTGTGTGTGTGTGCGCGCGCGAGCGCGCGTGTGTGTTTAGTTGTCCGATTATGTGTGTGCGTGCGTGTGTGTGTGTGTGTGTGTGTGTGTGTGTGTGTGTGTGTGTGTGTGTGTGTGTGTGCGCGTGTGTGTTTAGTTGTCCGATTATGTGTGAGT